GGTATTTCCAAACCAATACGACTTAGGGTCCTTTAAAAAGCGACACTTCCTCAAAGGCCGTCAACGCATCTGTCCTCTGGTGTTACGGATTACGGATGTCCATTGGCGTCGTTGACCACCTTTGTGTTCACGCCGCTCGTTTACCCCATTTTAATAAAAAAAATATATGAACTTACCATCTCCTATAAAATTTAATTTAAATATTTAGTTAACTAATTTCAAATGACTTTAACATATTTAATAACAGTGAAATAACGACTTCAAGTTATTTCTAAAATTAAAATCTTACTAATCTTACTAATATTATACTAATATTATAAATGCGAAAGTTTAGATGGATGGATGGATGTTTGTTAGTGTTTGTAGCCTAAACGGCTGAACGGATATCCGTGAAATTTGCCACAGGTTTAGAGCATAGTCTGGAAGAACACATAGGCTACTTTTTATCCCTGGAATAGTTACTGTCCCGTGGGATTCATTAATTTAGTTTTTTAATGTTTACTCGATCATTCTGCAACGGTTTAACATATCTTATTGAAATTTGTCACAGATATAAAACAAAGTCTGAAGTACACATGGGATAAGCTTCATCCCCGAGAAATGTCCGGTTCCTGGGATACGTAGTTTTTTGTAATTTTTATAGTCTGTTTGTTTTCTAATACCACGCGTACGAAGTCGCGGGCAACAGCTCGTATTAAATTAATAATTCTACTTACGTTCGTATTCTAAAAAAATAAGAAATTAATAACTTAATAATGTTGGTACTCCAATGACCAGTAAGTTTTGTCTGCACAAAAATGTGTTCAAAAACAAGTTACGAGTATTTGAAGAATATTCTAAACAGAATAATACTACTTACCATCTACTCCTAAAAATCGTATAATGAGTTAATATTTTTTTAATGTATCTAAAACTAATAAAATTGATATAATATGGTACTTACTCTCAGCTAGAAACAATGTTAATTAATAATTTAATTTTACTTATATAAATGCGAAAGTTTAGATGGATATATGTTTGTTAGAGTTTGAAACTAAACTTCTGGGATCTCGATGATTGTCATAAATGTAGGATAAGGAGGTTATAAGAGGTTACAAGGAGGTTAAATATGTTTCTTTTTGATATGTTTTTTTTTTAATTTTTTCGAATTTCATATTTTGACGTTGGTTTAAAAATTAGTTTGAAGTAGAGAGAAAAAAGAGGAACGACGATGTATAAAGATGTCTTATGGGAAAAAGTGTAAATATTAAAAAAAGTAGCAATAAATTACAAGTTTATTTTATTTTGATCGAGCCACAACCCCACATATAGAGGATAGTTTGAAATACATAGACACTTTTCTTTAATTCCACGCGGACAGTCATAAAGCCCGCTCAAAATTAAAACACATTAATAACTAGCTTTTGTTCGCGACTTAGCCCGCGTGAAATTTAAAAATATAGCCTATTTTACTTAAGATAAATTATCTTTCTAAAGGTGACAGAATTTTTAAAATCGGTGTTGGCGTCGTTTCTGCTCCGCCCTAATAGATGGCGCTGTGGCGAGATCGTCTAATCTTAAAGCACGATATTACTAACGTCTCGTCACATGCCTGGTCTCTCGCTGGTCGCGGGCTCTTTGGTAGGCGTGAGTCGTTACGTCATTTACGAGAAACGTAAGTAGTTTTTGAATTATTTCAACACATACAAAAATACAAATCTTTCCTCTTTATAACATTAGTATAGAAGTATAGATAACTAGTGAGAAATTAAAAATCTTATTTACTTACAATAATTGTCTGAAAGAGAATTTATCATATTTAGGACTGTCCTACCAAATTGTTAATTCATAATAATAATCATTTATTCAAAACATTACATCACTTACAAACACTAGAAAACACCGAAAGCATTAATTTTAAATTTAAAAAATTACCAATAACAATAAAACTAAGTAAAGTACAAAATTGTCTGATAACAATCCAACGTGACGTGTAAAATATGATAGCAATATCGAATTGTTCATTTATCTGTCAGTGACGTCATTAAGCTATCTGAGCCTCCATCAGCCAGTGGTGGGACAGGCCCATATCCGTATTGTGACAATACTTTTTTTTATAATATAATGTGGCAAACGAGCAAGCGGCCTGAATCCACCGAAATGGAAAGCGACCGCTGCACATAGACATCCGCAATTGCAGCGCTGCCTACCCTTCATTGACGGAGACGCACATAAAGAGGACATTTCACCTTCCTATGCATCTCCTCCACCGTCAAATCTATTTTTCCATCCCATCCTTTCTTCTTAGAAAAGGGAAAGGGGCATAAATTAGGCCTCCCGCACCACACTCATCAGACTGTAGGCGGAATTGCTTTCACTTCACACCTGTCTTGTGTGGTCGTGGTATTGTATAGCCCTACAGTGCAAAGATGTGAAAGCGGGCTCTACCACTTTTAAATACTTACGCCATAACTCATTAGCCAGCACAGCCTGGTCCGGTGAAGGCAGAGAGTAGATATATCCGATCTGACAAGGATTCCAGTGATCACATACTTCGTGGTCCGGGTCTAATTCGGTCACGAATTTATATGTCTGTAAAACATAACCTTAAATAACCAATACTAGCTTTCGTGTGACAGCTTCAAGCTTAATCTACTCTTCATAAAAACCAAACGAAACGACATTTAAATATGTTATTCTAGTGCTCGCGACTTCGTCCGCTTGAAATATATCTATATCTATACTATTATAATATAATAAAGCGTAAACACACACTTATTTGTTGCCTAAGATGTCAGCAATTACACCATATTTTTATATAAAAAGCCCTACAATTACGTCACGCTTTAGGCTATATATTTTAACGCCATTAAACTTAGGGGGTAAATATTTTGGATAAAAATGTGGGAAAGAGACCATAAGTTGCTGCCAACATCAAGGAAGCAAGGTTGTCATCATGTCATGTCATTTTGACCTTTATAATTGATAATTTGACAAATGTAAACAATAAAATAAAATTATCATAAATTCATGCGGATGAAGTCGCATGGGACCAGCTAGTTAAAAATAAAAACATAGCCCTTGTTACTCAGTGATAACGTAGCTTTATAATGGTGAAAGAATTTTTGAAATCGGCCCAGTAGTTTTTGAGTTGTGTCAATACATACAAAAATACAAATCTTTCTCCTTTATAATGTTAGTACAGACTAGCTTTAGCCCGAGACTTCATCCACAAGGAATAAAAAACAGTAAGTAAATGTGCTCTTCGAGATAATATTGTAAATCTTCACAGATTTTTTAAAATACTCTCATGAATATAATAAGCTTGATCTAACCAAATTAAACATTTAAATGCTGTGTTTCTGAATTTTCCAATTAATGTTAGAGTTAACCTCAAGTTACGTATTTCGGACACGCATTTCATGAAGTTACCGAAGCAAAACACTAAACGGAGTGAGGAAATCGGGTATAAATAAAGTTAAAAGATTAAATAAAACGTTCTTACCCTGTCCGGATAATATCTATAATGGACTACGACGTCGTCGGTATCCTCGAGCGCGCATTTGGCGCTAGTGTAGTTCAGTGATGTACGCTCTATGGGCGCGCAGCCAATCACAGTGGAGCCATTGCGCGGGAGATCGGGTCCTTCGATCTTATGCCCTTTTATGACGAATTTATTTTAAAGATACATTTTATTCCAATAACTTAAAGGAACGATTTTGATTATTTCATCTATCTATCTATAAAATATCACTTTTTAATTGAGTTAACGGCAAACTCTCTTAAGGGTACACATAGAAAGATGGATCTAGCCTAGATGAATGACTGTCCAGGCAAAAAAAAAACACTTAAGACAAAAAAGCTGCAAAATAATTTATACTGTTAACAAGAAAATCGGTACCACGCTAGAACGGGGCAACACTAGATCACCGTCACACATGTCCCATCCCTATGACAGCTGTCAGTGTCAATCAGACTTATTAGAATAGC